CCTCTGTATATCCGTATAAATTTTAGAATCAGTTTTCCAGTTTCTAAAAATTGCCAGCTGAATTTTTTATTGGAATTACATTGAATCTATAGACCCATTTAGGGAAAAATGACATCTTAATAATATTGGGTTCTCTAATTCATGAACATGGCTTATCTTAATAAGTTTTAATATCTTACTTTATGTATAAATCTTGTACATATTCAGTTAAACTTAACTCTAAATACTTCATATTTTGATGTTATTATAAATGGTATTGCTTTGATAATTTTATTATTGTTCATTGTTATTATATAGAAATACAATTGATTTTTTTATATTGACCTGGTATCCTACTTCCTTGCTAAACCCACTATTCCTAGTAGCTTTTTTGCTGGATTTCTTAGGAATTTTTACTCCTTCCTTTCAAATCTGTATGTCTTTTAATTATCTGATTGCACTGGCTAGGCAATCCAGTATGATGCTGAATAGAAGTAGTGAAAACAAATCCTTGACTTGTTCCCAAGATTAGGAGAAAAGCATTCAGTCTTTCCCATTGAGTATAATGTTAACTGTAGATTTTTCACATATACTCTTTATTAATAGCTACATAATTTCTCATAATACAAATGTACAAGTCTTGTCATCCATTCTCCTTTGATAGACAGTCACATTATTTCCAGTGTTTTGCCTTTGAAAACAATGCAGCAATAAACAATTTTGTGCATGTATCACAGTTTCATAGTAATTTTTACTTCTGTAGATTTCCAGAAGGATTGCTGAGTCGATATTATATTAACAAATATTGCATTACTCTTCCAGATTCCTAACGACAGTGTATGAGAGTAGCTTTGTCCTTTCCATCTCCATCTTTGCTGCTCTTGCTATCAGTCTATTCTATCAACCTGATGGGTAAAGTAATATTTTAATTTGCATTTTCTTTGACTGCTAATAATTATCTTTTGTTTATTGTTTACTGACCATTTACAGTTCCTTTTCTGAACCAATATCTTTGGCCCATTTTTAGCCTAGGTTTGTCTTTTTCCCAGAAATTTGAAGGTATTTTTTGAATACTGGGAATATGTCATGTGTATTAGAAGGATTTTCATCAAATCTGTCCTTTTTCATTTGGCTTATTTACAATGTCTTTGGATATGTAATTTTTTTAATTTTTTAAAATTAAAATCTGTTCTTTTTTCATTATGCTTTTTAGGTTTACTAACATGCTTGTGGTTTCCTTGTTCGGGATTATACAAATATTCATCTAAATTTTCATATTATGTTAGTGTTATAGTTTTTACATTCATACCTTTAATTTACCTGGAATTTCATTTTGTATATGACATAAGGAGGAATTAAGACTTGGAATCTTAGAGTTTGCCATAACTCTTCATATCCTGTGGATTTTCCATGTTTTCATAATATACTCCATGCAGCTCATAATTTCTCTGGTTTCAGACCTTTCTCTTGTCACATTGCTATGGCTGTAAACTAAGGGAAGGCAGGAACCATGTCTGTCTCTTCCTCTATCTTGATTTCCTTCAAGAAAGACTAATGAACACTTGGAAAGCACCTAGCATAGTACCTGACACATTTTAGGCAGCCAGAAAACATTTATGGGAGCAAGGAAAGTGTTGAATTCATATCTGCATTACTGTGATTCCTTGGCAAATTTAATATTGATTGCTTTATCTGTGTAAACAAGGGAACTGTCATTCTCCTTAAAGCCATTCACTGTCTCATGAGTTCCCTCTGTTCTTTCCTTCTCCTGAGTCTTTGTTCTTTGAGGCCTTCGCTCACTATATAAATCTGTAAATCATTCCATAAGGACTCCCTTCTTTAGGAAACCTTTCTTCAAACCTTTTCTTAAAATCCAACAGCATTTATAAACTCTGCCATATTATATACCATTTAGTTCACAATGGATTTTACTCCTCTTCTAGTACCCATCACTGTGCTGGGCACATAGTTCTTTAAACACTTAACTGCACCTGAAACAATCCTGCATGCTGAAGCCTTTATAAAGAATAAGTATAGCCTCAAGATTTGTTATGAAAGCTCTGGGGTCTAAAAACAAAAAACCAGCAAACTGGGAAAAGCTGGAACATATCCTGAAAGCTGTCAAATACCAGAATGATTTTTCAAATAAAATTGTATAATCACATTTTTTAAAAATATATTTGTCAAATGAACACATGACTAGGTATTGCCCTGCCTGAAGGCAGAGATCAACAGACTTTCTTTGGTGTTTTCTATTTCCATGAGTCCCTATAGTCTTCACCAACTCAGACCTTTGGAGCTTCAGGTAAAATGTAAAGAAATCTTATATGACCCTATGTTTAGTTTGAAAATAACATCTGAAAGGCTCTCACCACTTTCTGCATGAATTTTTAACGGAGAAATGGCTAATTCTAGGGCTAGTGCAGAGAATATACAAGATGAACTTGGAGCATCTTATAATATCAGAAAATTAGAAAGCACTCAAAAAACAAAATGATGGGGGAATGTCGACGGAACACAAGAGCTAACTGAAGAACTCCCAACCAAAGCTGGAACAATTTGAGCAACAAAATAAATGCTGTAGTATTGGATTATAGCCTGAAGAATAAACACCCATGAGTTCATACTGATATAAATAAGTGGTTGAATAAAAGATGAGGGAGAAAAGACAAATCTCCCATAGAAAATTCCAAATAATTTATGTAGATACTCCACCATCAGGGAGGTAGAGCACAACTCCCTTAAGTGGCGACCACACTTAGTGACATGCTTCCAAAGCGAAGAGTATGAAAAGAGGGACGAAAGTAACTTTACCGTGGAGAAACCTGGCAAGACAACCTTAACCAAGTGATTGAGATTGACATCATCAGTGATGTCATGTTGACAGTATGTACCCATGATATGATGTAATGAGAATGACACTTCACCTCTATGGCTCTTTCCAAAAACCATAACCACAGTCTAACCATGAGAAAAACAGACAAATCCCAAAGGAAGTACATTCTGCAAAATACCTGACCAGTCCTCAACACTATCAGGGTCACTGAAAACAGAATGTCTAATAGACTGTCACTGCCTACAGGAATCTAAGGAGACATGACAACTAAGTGTGATATGGTATCCTGGATGAGATCTTAGAACAAAAAAAAAGGACATTAAGCAAAACTAGTGAAATCCAAATACAGTATGGAGTTCAGCTGATATCACTATTATTTCATTAGTTGTGACACATGTACCACAGTAATGTGCTCATAGAACTGGGTGTGGGGTATATGGAAACTCTCTTGTCATATCCTTTAACTTTCTTGTAAATCTAAAACTAAAATAAAAGCATTATTAAATATTTTTAAAACACAATTTGGGCAAAAGATGACTACATGCTTATCTCCACAAATGTGCTTTTAATTACAGGGCGCTGGTGACAGTTTTGTGGGAGCTTTGGCCTTCTACCTGGCTTACTACCCAAATCTGTCCTTGGAAGAAATGCTGAAGAGATCCAATTTCATCGCAGCAGTCAGTGTCCAGGCTACAGGAACACAGTCATCTTATCCATACAAAAAAGACCTGCCACTTGATCTGTTTTGATTGCTATTAACTCCAAAATAAATATACTTGGAAATAAAATGTACTTGGGGGTGGTCACTCTTAAACAGAATCTTACTATAAAATGTCCCTTTCTTCTTTCTTTGCAAATATTATGGTTCATTTACTAAGTCATCCTCAAGCTTTCGTTTATTTCTTTAAAATGATCATTTTCATGCAAGAGCTAACCAGAATTAAGGATTCCACAACCAGGACCTGTACAAACACCACCCGAACCAGCAAACTCCATTGCCAACAGATCACAAATACTATACGTACACTATACAGGACAAGTGTATCAGCAACTCATTTTTTTTTAAATGTAAACACCACCTGTGGGCCACATTCAGCCCACGTGCTGAACAGGCAAGTCATTTATGTTAAGCCAGATTTTAAGTTTTTTTAAAAAAAGGCAATCCAGGCAGGTCACAGACCTTTACATCGGGCTTAGCTAGTAGGACCAGGTAAAAAATTTTTCTTGTAATACAAGACTATGTACAGTTTCAAACTAAAAATAACCAAGATCGCACCTATTACTGCTTTGAACCAGAGCTTTAACGAAAGGTGCCAGAAGCAGCTGACTATAATGCCGCAAGCCTCTAAGACCCAACAACTGTCTACAACTAATTCCATTCCTAGGGAGCTGCTCTTGCACTCCCTCTGGAGACAGACTGGGCCATGGGGAGGGACACCTGTTATTTTGGAATAGTACTGGCTTCTCAGTGCTCAGGTTCATGGTGGGAACCCTCATTCTCCCACACAAATGCTTTAAATGGGGTAGGATATGAACCGGCAGAGCTCAAAAAAATGAGCTAAACTTTCTTACCTTCAGCCAGAAATTAGACAAGTAAAGGAGCAAACTGGGCAATTTTGAAAACTTGCAGGAAACAACAGCTTACATGAAAAGTGTATAGGTCTGGCTAAGACACTAGTTCTTATCTGAACATTAGGGATTTATCAGTGGAACTGCCAGCTGATTAGCTGAGTAACACCATGCCCCAGAGCCCTAGTTGTAGCTTTAAGGAAATAATATTACAGTGCCACTTAGGTTTAAAAAATCTAGGAGACAAAGTAGTCCAAAGCTGTCCCAGAAAACTCTAGATACTGCTTTTGTGATCAGAGTTTGAGAATACAAGTCAATGGCATTTTCCCGAATTATATAAGTTCTCATAGTTTCTTCTGTTACAAGGCTGAGAAATAGCCCTTCTTAT